TATTTCGGCATATTTTTCTTCGTTTGGATCTAAAGAGATTTTATCTTCTTGGTCTATAATGCTGATTGTTTTGGTATCTCTTTCATCTCCATGTATCATAACTTTCTTGGTTGATAATACAGAAATGGAATCTCCTTTGTTATCAGTTGGTATGTTGTCACGTCTGGGTCCACTGCTGCTTCCAGCTGTCCCTATTTGGTATTGATTTGGAAAACTCATTTCTGAGCTCTTTGGTATATCTGTTTCAAACAGTATATTTTTTAGTTGTGCTACAATAGCATTAACTTGATTTTTGAGTTCTATGGCATATTTATGATACTCAGTAGCGATATTCAATAATATTTTCATATTTGAGTTGAATATCTCTGAGATCTGGGTTGCTCTAGAACTTATATCTACAGATTCTTTTTTAAGAAAATTTGTCATTTCTTGTATATGTATAATAGATTGGTATAACTTCATGACTTTGACTTTATCCATCAATAAATTTTATGTTTCTACTAAGAAAATCTGCAAGAAAATTATTAACTTCTTTAATATGAACTATATCAAAATTATAAAATGTTAAATAAGCTTGCCATCTATGAAACTTTCTGTATTGTGGTTCTGAGGGTAACTTATTCCTGACTAATCCTGCAACTTGAAAATTATCAATTTCAACAGTAAATTTCTTGGATAATAAAAACAATGAGAACTTTTTTATTCTTCTAATAATTGCTTGTAATTTTTTTCATGAGTAATATAATTTATTTCTGCTTGGTTAAAGGTTCCACTTGAGTATCTATAAATTTTATTAAGATCTGTTTTTAATATTGTTGCCCAATATTTATCAGAGGTATCAGTATTAAAATCAAATTATCTTTTTCATCTGATAATCTTAATTTTGATAAATTTTTGCATTCTTCTTTTAATAATTTAACTATTTCTGTATGTTTTTCATTTCATCCCTTAGTATTTGGTTTTCTAAGTAAAATTTTGATTTTATGTCTTTTCTTAGAAAGATTTTCAATAAATCCTTATGCATAATTTAACATCCTAAAAAATTTTGAATTTGTTCCTTGAATTTTAATTTATCTGGAAAATTTTCTATCTTTTTAGATATATGAGTCTGTAATTTTATCCCTCTTTTATCTAATTGATAATCCAAGAAGGTCTATTTCTTGTTTTTCTATTATAGATTTCTTTTTAGATAGTACAATTTCTTCTTTTTTACATTCATTAATAAATTGGATTAAATGATTTCTATACTCTTCTTTACTATTAGAACATATTAATATATCATCAATATAAACTATTAGAAATTCATTAAACTTTTTAAATATATTATTCATATTTTTTGATATATTTGTGGTGCATTTTTCAAACCAAATGGTATAACTAACTATTCATATTTTCGTCGAGGTGTGCTAAATGCAGTATATTGTATATTATCTTCTTTCATTTTTACTTGTCAAAATCCCGATTTACAATCAAATTTAGAATAATATTGTTTTCCTCTTACAAGATTTATTAGTACTTCTTTATTTGGTAGAAAGTAACCATCAAATTTAGTATATTTGTTTAATTCTTTATAATTTATAACAATTCTAGCTTTTCCTCTAACTTGTTCAGAGTGTTTCATAACCATAAAGGCTGGACTACTATGAGGTCCATTACTAGGTCTAATAAGTTTTTGTTCTAATAATTCTTTTATCTGATTTTTAAATTCTTGTGTATCTTCTATTGTATACATCATTGGTCTTACTCTTATTATAATATTTTCCGTTAATTCTATTTTAGCTTTTGGGTGATGTAGTTTCCAAAATAATAATGGATTTTTTTCATAAACATTTTCTAATTATCAATGATTTTTTCTATATTCATTTTTATTCCTATTTTTGGACCATTTTATATAATATTCTTTTATTTTTTATTTCATTATTAAGAATTGGTTTTTTCTCCCATTTATCAGCACGCTGGGCTGGCTGAAATCTATAAGGTTTAAATTCTCTTGGAATTTTTAATAAGTGTCCACAAGGTGTTTGTAGCATTATCATATAATTATTTTGTTTATAATATTGAAATTGTTGTATGAAATCATTTCCTAATAATATATCACATTCTTATTTATCATATTTATAAATTTTATTTATTGTTACTTTTTTTATTTCAAGAATTATATTAACTTTATCAGCACTATTAATTATTTGAGTACTTTATCCTGTAACACCAGTTATTTTTGTATTACTATTATTATTCCATTATTTTATTAAAAAACTTTAAATATTGTTATATCACTTACTGTATTTATTAAAACATAAGCTGTTATATTTGTTTCTACAATAGTAATTTGTATATACACAGCTAATGGGAAACTTATCTGATTATTTATCTAATTCTTTTTACATAATGTAGTTAGTCCATTATGAAAAATATATAATCCTTCTCTTTTTATACTATAATCTTCTAATCCGTTCAAAAAACTCATTCCT